CCTTACCCCGTCACCCTTTGTCGCCCCCACAGAACTCCTTCCACACCCTCCCGCACACATTTTCGGAACACCTGGGCAGGTTTGGCATGTGCAGGAACGAGAGCCTGAACACGTCCCTGGAGAAGAGCCACTGCACCGGCCCCGACACCTTCATCACCGCCTACGAGCACTTGGACTTCCACCCCAGCTACAACCCCAACGGGCCCTCGCACTGCCGCGACCAGCCGCCGTAGGCAGCGTTTGGCGGCCTCAAAAACGCCCACGGCCGGCCTTGATCCTAAAGGGACCCACTAGAGTGCACAGGGAATGTTATTTATTAGCAGTATTTAGTGAAGGTTTAATGCGGTTATGTGTCAGTTAGGTAGCTCATGTGAAGTGTTTTACCTGATTTATCAGCAGCATATAAATACTAGGACAACATAAATTCTGGTTTTATCCCCTTATCCCCTTCTCTGTCACTAGTGATCCTTTACACTCTTGCCTTATTTACTACGTATCATTAAAAATTCAAGATCTAAACTGCTTCTCTACTCTTTATTGAATAATCAATCTCTCAGTTTTCCAGAGTTATTAATGAACTCTGGATTTCTTTAGAAAGTTTGTGTTTCTTCTCTCTCCTAAGTACAAAGTTTTAAGAAATTATTCAAATAATGACAAGTAATCAAAAAGAAGATTTTTTTAAAAGTTTTATTGGAACAATTGTAGGTACAGGCAAAAAAACTGAATCAGTTGGACAGTGAGTGCACTGAAAGAGCACCTGAACATTTTTGGCTTAAAAATGAGTTTTTAAAAGAAACTACTCTGCCTGTTTATGGATGAAAACCAGTCCTACCTTACAGGTGTAACAAAACATTAAAAATGAGCATAATATTATTCAAACTGTTTGCTAAAAATATAAATAATGAGTGGAACATTATGTCCAAACTACTGCAATTGCTACTCTTCACATGTCAGAACCATTCCCTGTTTGTGACATGTGGTAAGAGCTGGGTAGATCCTCCAGCTGCAAACACACCAAAAATAATAAATTGGAACAGGTAAATAAACTGAGCAGAAATGGGCCTGAAAAGTTAACATTTCAAAGATTTAACATCTGAAAATAAATAAGGAACCCTCTTCCATTTGCTGTGATCCTCGTCTCAGACTCTAGACAATACCTGGAGCTTCTTTAGAACTTCCCTTTCTTCTCCTGAAATGAGAAAATAACAAAGTGCTGCATCAATAGAAATCGTTGTGACAATGTTACATGTATTTTTATCCACAGATTTTTCTGCAGGTGGCATAATTTAGGGATAAGGCTGCCTCATAAAAATATTAACAGAGTGGATTCTGTCACATATTTTCCCACTCCATCTGAAAACACCCACCTCTTCCTTCTTGCATCAATTTTAATTTAATTTTATTCTTAAAACCAGTTCCTTTGAAGAGTTTGGCATGCAGTGTATCTGAATGTTCAGAGGTT